TTCTCTCAATTGATACAGAAACTAAGAACTTCTATTTTATTATTTCTATGAGTCAAATTTGACCTGTTGATTGATAAATTTTTAAATTTTGTTCTATTTCTATCAACTAATGTACTCCTTTTTTCTTTTTCTTTTTTTTTTTGGATTTAAACGTTAGTTTGTATTAATGTTTTGGTGATATTAGTTATTTATTTATTTACTTTAAAATTTACTCTCTTAAAAACCCTATTTAAATACGAGAAAAAACCCTTTTTATATCCCGGATGGGAATGATTTATGGACCTCTGTTATTTATCGAATTGATAAATTTGAAACTAAACTTTGCGCTATGAATATCTGTGGCAAAAAGAACACATCATAGTCCTTTCCTTACCTTGACTTGCAATAGTTTGAGTTTAAAGGAGGCTGGAACCGGAAACCAATGGTATTAATTTCAGGGGACAGCAATCCAGATCAAAGCAAAGGTACCGAACCAGAAAGGTATCTTAATGATCAAAACCCAACCTTAAAGTTACTGGTGATCTCTTTGATTAATCTAATTTATACTATCAGAACTAGCTACTTTTTTTTTTTGAAAAAAAAAAAAACAGAAAGGTAAGGTTGGCATTCAGGTTCTGACTGACATAAAAATACTCAAGGGGTATACTCAAGATATATGTTTTATACCAGACAGTGCTAGGTAATACTATACACCCAAAGAGTATACTCAAGGGATGAACATATATAATACCTAATTCCCTAGTTCTACCCTCCCTGATTTCATTGCATTAACTGTAAAAAAGATGTCTAGAACATGGTATAATCTAAGCCTAGACGAAATACATCAAACAGTTCGACTTCTAATATAAGGAAAGGATGATTGATGTAGTACCAATAATTTTTTTACATATCTTGGCAATGAATCAAAAGTAAAATAAATTTCTGAATCTCATGAAGATGCCTTTTTACCGAGAAAATTAGCAACTGAATTCGCCTCTCTCTCTCTCTCTCTCTTTCTATATATATATATATATATATATATATATATATATATATGCCAAATTCGAAATCCATTCATTTGAAGAGTGAAGAACATCTCATGCAAAAGTAATATATATCTCCAAGGAAAACCTAAACCACCATGCAAGACTTCAGCCAGAGCCTTATTATCTGTTTGAACAACAACATTTAGGAGCTGGAGTTGTTCACATTTCCGCAACCCAAATAAAATGCTATAAACCTACCAAGAAACTATCTCCACCCCCTAGATAGCCACACTCACCATACAAAAAAGTTCCTACTGGCCCTCTAATTACAAAACCATAGCCAGCCTATCCCAAACAAGAAGAAACATCAGAATTTAGGACATATTCATTTGCGAGCGGAGGTTGCCACCTAACTTGCAAAACCCTAGTCCGTACATACCTTCTAAGAGATACATTGAACGCAACTAGGATGAAATATTTTTTCCATCTCATGACTAAGTTTTAAATCATGAAGCATAAGCAAAAGACGCACCTGCTCCTTTATTGATTGGATAGTCCTCGCAACATTCTGATTTTGTCCCTCAAAGATCACCTTATTCCTACACTTCCAAACCTCCCAAAGAATCAACGAGGGAATCAATTTGCGAAGCACCCCATAGGCTATCTTGAAATCTCCTCCACTCCACCATCGGCTTACCATGGCAGCTAGTGTATAAATTCCACTGATGCGAATATTAAGCACTAATGAAAAATGCCGCCAAATTTCTTTGACAAAAGGACAACCAAAACAGCAATGGTCAACACTATCTCCTCCATTCTTGCACAAGAAAGATAAAGCTGGAAGAACTACTATTCCCATTTGGCTTAAAGCTTCAGGAACATGAAGAAGCTTGTTCCGCAATCTTCATAGGAAAACTGAAATTTTCAAAGGCATTTTTGAGTTCCAAACATTCCGTGCCCAACTTTCTTCTTGTCTCCTTACACGAAAAGAATCATAAGCTGATTTAACCGTGAAATCTCCTTTTGAAGTGTGCTGCCAGACCAGTAAATCATCCCCATCATCAATAAAATCTTGCTCTAGTTTCGCAAGGAAATTCAAAACCCCAAGAGTTATACCATCATGGATCAAGGGAAGAATCTCTTGTCGCCTTTGAAAAAATTCAATAATACTCAAGTCCTTTTTAGGTGGCTACGACCCTTCTACATCCCAAAAAACTCCAAGAGAAGACTAGTTATCGAACCAAAAGGATCTATTTTCATTTCGAATGAGAACCTTAGTATGTTTTACAGCCCGCGGTTTTATCTTAGAAATTCGGTTCCATGATGTTTTTCTTCTCGCAGCCATAGACAAAGAATGGATGAACTCACTCCATATGCCTCGTCTTTGTTTTAATTTCCACCAAAGTTTCATCGTTAGGGCATCTATGAACCCCTGAAAGCTATGAATCCCATTCCATTTTCTGAAACCGGAAATGTCATTCTTTCCCAAAATCTCCAATGCCTTTTGCTTTCATCATTCATTCCACTCTAGAAGAACCTTTGGCATCTTTTTTCAATATCCCGTAGAATGGAATTAGGGGGTGGTATTGCCGAGAAGACATGTATCTGAATGGAGGCCAAAACATGCTTAATTAGAACTAGCCTTCCTCCTTGACTGAGCAACTTACTCTTCCAGCTTAACAATCTTTTATCTATACTGTCTAAAAGAAGCTGAAAATTCGCTGTCCTCCTTCTACCATGATAGAGCCGGCAACCAAGATAAACCAAAGGAAAAGACCCTCGTTGAATACCAGTGTCCTTTGCACTATAGAGACCCTTCTAGAGTCGCAGACCCTTCTGGCTGGAAGCACTTTCATAATCATGGAAAAAATATTGAGATGCTGCAATGATCTTTTTAACCCCCTGAAAAATATTATCATATTGTCAGCAAAAGCTAAATGTGAAACCCTCAAAGAACCAGCCGGTGTCCCATAAACCGCGACCTTGCCTTCCACAACCAATGATTTGAACCTCCTTGTCATCGCCTTAGAACATATAATGAATAAGTATGGAGAAAGCAGGTCGCCTTCTTAATTCCACGCAAAGATTTAATGAAGCCAACTGGAGATCCGTTGATCATTATGGGAAGCCAAGCTCTGCGCAAGTTGTTCATGATCAATAGAATAAAATACATTGGAAATTCAAATTTGAGCAAAACCTTCTCCAAAAAACTCCACTTCACACGATCAAACGCCTTCATCATATCAAGCTTGAATATGAAGTTACCCCCCTCAGCTTTCCGACCCAAAAAGCACATTTTCCATTCTGTCCCGCCCTTGAAGAAAAGCCGATTGTTCTTATGAAATTATTTTTGGTAGCACCCCCTTCAGCCTCTCTGTAAGAATTTTGGTGAAAATTTTATTCAAGAACGTACAAAGACTGATTGGCCTAAAATCCGCAAAGTTTGTCACTGCCGTCTTTTTGGGAATCAAAGTTATCAATGTACTTGTGATTGACCTTGGCATAGGAACTCCTAACATGAACTCTTGACAAGCAGTCCTCAAGTCATGTGAAATAATGTCCCAACAATATTTATAAAAAGTGCCACCAAAACTATCTACCCTTGGAGCGCTATCTTCACTCAAGCTGAAAACCGCATCTTTCACCTCTTCAATCAAAAGTGGCCACAACAATAAACCAGCATCATCATCAATAAGTAGTTGAGGGACATGATCCAGGAAGAGTGCTTGCTTAGCTTCACTATTCATATCATCTTCTTCTTCACATAGGAGATCTTGGAAGAAACTAATAGCTTCCTGTTCAATTTCAGCTGGATTAACCAACACCCTTCCATCCATAGCATGTATCTTGAATAAGCTTTGCTTTAATCTCCTCTCTTTCAAAGTAGCATGGAAGTAAGTCGTGTTAGAATCCCCTCTTTCATGTACTTGACCTTCATTTTTTGAGTCCAGAAATCATCATATTCCTTTAATCTTTGTAGAAGCTCCACCTTACTTGCAAATGGCATCTATCTTAGATATCATCAAAATTATCATAGAGATTTTCCACTTCTTGAACTTTGGCTTCAGTTTCACACAAATTGCAAAAAACATCACCAAACACCTCTCTATTCCATTCCTTTAATTTCACCTTCAAATGCTTCAACTTCAAAGAAAAACCTAGCATGCCATAGCTATCAATAGGTTGAGCCCAATTTTCTTGCACCAAGTTCTTAAAATCCGACCTTCTCAACCACCATTTTTGGAACCGAAAAACCTTTGGCTTACTTTCAACCGAAAAATTAAATAGATGTAGCATCGGACAATGGTTAGAAGTGGTTCTATTCAAATTTTCCAGAGATGAACTTCGAAATAGATCATGTCATTCCTGTGATATCAAAACCCTATCAAACTTCTTACTTACCCAACTAGTTTGTCTAGTACCTCCCCATGTATATTCCTCATCAACCGCCGGGATTTCCATCAAAGAGCACTCTTGTACATATTCATTAAACTCAGTCATAGCTAAAGGATCTTGGACTGAATGGCCCGAATACTCCTCCAACTCACGGATAACATTGAAATCTCCACCTGTTAACCATGGTTTATCTGAGTGTAGCTGCCTGAGTGCACACATATTTCACCATAAAGCTTGTCTACCGCCCCTTGTAGACTTTGCATATACTGCTGAGAAGAGGACTTTATTTGAAACCGAAACACGGGTTGCTTCAAATGTTGAACTTGCTCATGATCTTCCAATAACTGAATCGTAAACCTGGACTTCCAAAAAACCCAAATTTTACTCGTGACCGAAGAAAAAGACACATCAAAACCTAGCTCCCTTTTAATTCCCTCAATTTGATCCATTGCAAGCATTATAATAAAGAAGAGCTCAACCTTATGCATTTTTATCAACAACTTCAACCGCCGTTGCGATGCTCGATTTCTTATTCCACGAATATTCCAGATTAAATGACTAATCATTGGAACATTAATGAGGGAAATTCTTACTGTAACCTAGGATATCGATGAGGGGCCACCTCTTTTTGCAACTCTATCATCTCAGCCTTTGGTTTATGAGTTCTTTTTGTGATTCTGAAACTTCCCCTTGTGTCGTTTCTTGATCGTGAACTTTATCAGCATTGCTCTCCGACCAGCAAGCATGATCTCCGTTAAAAACATCCAACCTTTCAGTTCGTTTCCCTATTTCAGCATCATCATGAAACATACCAACAATGAGGGGAACGTCACAGTCAAGACGCAACAAGGATTGGGTCTCTTCTTCTTGTCGCAACAGATCAGATGGAGGCAAACCCTCTTGCTGCGAGGCTTCGCTTCCAACTTCTTGCGTAACTAGTAGCTTCATACCAGAGGTTTTACTCACCTCTGTGTCGTCCATCACATCCTCTAGAATCACGTCCTTTAAGATTTTCCCTTCCTCTTCCTGAATGGTATCAAGAATAGCAAACTTATTCGTCGCAGCTACCGACGTTGCCACCACTGAAGTCGCCGGATGCGAGACAAGCGTCTGAGAGCTCTCATTCAGCAGCTCTGAATTTTCTTTCAAGGGCATCTCGTTCTTTTCTGGCTGCTTGGGTGGAGAGCTCTCAATATCCACAACAACGGCTTCCTTCTCTTTTTGCGTTAATCCGGATGATGAGGGTTTTTCAGAAGGCAAAATTGCAGCCTCCGAGCTAGGGTTTGCGATCTCCTTGCGAGCAAAACACTAGGCTGTGATTTTGAAAGGGGCTGCGATTGCTTTGCTTTTTTCTTTTCTATCAATTCCCTAAACCCTAAACCCTAAAAAAAAAACGAAAAAACGAAAGACGGATGCCTCGGTAAGATTCTTACATGTAGCGTTCCAAATTATGGAATGTCTACGAATGCACTACAGATAGCGTTCCAAATTTGGAAACGACATTCTTATTCAGCTTGATCATGTTCATATGAATGACTGCTGTACGTATTTTTTCTGTGTTTGTGGCCTTGGCAATCTTCGTTCTCAATTTTTGCCGAACCATGTACATTAGCTCTAGGTCACAATCAACTCGGATACTGCATATAAAACTAATAAGATTCTATATTGTTACAATTTTTAATTCATTTTGTCTTTCTCATACTAGCTATGACTACTCTTTTGGAGAAAAAGAATGAAATGGAAAAAAATCTTTTGTACAACAAAGAAGGCACATTCCTCAGAAACTAAACTAAATAGACATGAAACGAGGAAATATTACCTCTACAGTATCTTGATTAATTCAAGGAATAAAATCGCATAATTTCAGCCTATGACAACCCAGGAGAATTGAGTACTCCCCCCCAAGACGGCATATGATTCATTGATTATGAATAGATATTTCATCAAATTATATGTACCACCAATTTTTGTAAAAATCAGTTGAAATTCTTCTTTCTGCCGAATGCCAAAATCATTCCCTATTAACATGCATGTGTTAGAGACAGCAAGTTAACCAAAAATTATACTCCCTCCATTTCAAATTATAGATCGTTTTAGGTTTAGAGAGATTTTTCAAAATATAGGTTGTTTTACAAATTCTAGACAAATTAATGACTATTTTTCCAACTTTACCCTCAATAAATGATGTTAATTTATTTTTATTTAGTTTTATTTATAGTTCCGATGTAATTAATGAGGGGTAAAATAAATATTTAACACATAAATTAATTGTTAAATGATTATCTCCTTAGTTTACGTGCCAAGTCTAAAGTGATTTACATTTTAAAATGGAGGGAGTAAAAGTTTAACATTTAAGAGGAAGAGAGAGGAATTTTCATCCTTTTATATGAGGAACTTTGTGATGGACAACAATTTTTTTTTCTTTTTGTTTTTTTAGGAAAATATATTTTCATTAAAAATTATTGGAATGACCCAGCACCAATTGAGATAAAATTAAAGCTGCTAGGACTATTCCATAAAGTTTCAACTACATCAGACTATTTTGTAAATTTGGCGAAAGGATGAGAAATGATATTATATGACAACGAATTCACGATAAGTTCTTGACATGGACAAACATTTCCAATTTTACCTGTAGATAAAAAAATTATTTTCTTGTGGAAATTTGTGTTAGCTATGGACAATAATTTTCAATTTGCCTGCCTAAAACAAATCCTTACGTGGAAATCTATGTTTTCCGAGGACATCAGTTTCAAATTTACAGATGGAAAAAATCCTTTTCTTGTGGACATTTTTGTTCGTGATGGACGACGTTTGATCTACTTAACAAAACATCTTACCGAAATAGAGAATAAAAAAAATAAATAACCTTACCATTCTATTATGATTTATCATTATTACGTGAATTTATCTTGGAAAAACCACACAATTAAGGTAGTTGTACATCCGTGCCCGACATTTACTTTGACTTATCAGTTATTATTACCCCCACTTATGCATTCATGTGGCTAAAAATTTTGGGTCCAAAATTATCTTCTGTTTTGTAATGATAACACCATTTTTCGAATATACTCCCTCCGTCCAAAAAAAAAAAAAACACTTTGCATTTTGGAATATGTACTAAAAACAGTACTCCCTCAATTCCAAAATAAGTGTCATTTTAGAGTTTGCACACAATTTAAGAAACACTTAAATAGGGTAGCTAAATTATTAGAATATCCTCAACTAACTCCACTAAAATAAATGTTTACCAATAATATTATTTCTTTTGAGGGTATGTTTGGAAATTTTTTACAAAAAATGTATTGAAATCCGAAAACGACACTTATTTTGAAATTTCTATATTTTGCTAAAACGACACTTATTTTGGAATGGAGGGAATAGTAAAAATATAAAAACTCAATGTGGATTATTTTTTTGGAACAGAGGTAGTAATAAATATTATTCCCTCATTCTATATATATAATAATACTCGTCCGTGCAATTAATAGAACACAGAAACTTTGCTGAAATAACTAATCAAAGCAAAATGGCAGAATGGTTACTTTTCTTCTTCTTCCTCCTGATTCTTCCATTTGTTCTCATTTTTCATTTCACGAAAATCCGCACACAAAGAAACCTCCGTAACCCGCCAGGCCCTCCAGGATTACCTTTCATTGGAAACTTGCATCAATTTGATAGTCTTAAACCTCATATCGTTTTGAGAAACCTTTCCAACAAGTACGGTCCTCTCATGTCATTGAGACTCGGTTCGCGGCCAATGGTCGTGATTTCGTCAGCGAAAATCGCGAAAGAATGCCTGAAAACTCACGACCTTGTGTTTTCCGGCAGGCCACCGCTTGTTAGTTACCAAAAGTATTCTAACAATGGATTGGACGTCGCTTTCTCGCCCTACGGCGAGTACTGGAGGGAGATGAGAAAGGTTGCGGTCCTTCATCTATTGAGTGTCAAAAGGGTTGAATCATTTCGCCCGATTCTTGAAGATGAAATTTCCAGTTTGATCGATAAAATTTCGAATCTATCTTGTTCGTGTCAACCTATCAACTTAAGTTCGCTGATGATCAATCTAACGAGCAGTTTAATATGTCGAATCGGTTTCGGTAAGAAGTATGGTGAGGAAGATCATGAGAAGAAGAGATTTGATCGAGTTTTGCATGAATCCCAAGCCTTGTTTGCGGGCTTTTTTGTTTCTGATTATCTTCCTTTGTTGAGCTGGGTTGATAAGATTTCGGGGATGCTTGATCGTCTTGAAAAGAATTCCAAGGATTTGGATTTATTCTATCAAGAACTCATTGATGAGCACTTGAATCCAAACAGGCCTGATACGATGAAGGATGATATTCTTGATATCTTGATCCAGATAAAACATGAACAATCGTCATCATCCAATGTTTTTACTTGGGATCACATCAAGGCAATGCTCATGGTATGGAATTCTCTTCCCCCACCCATAAATAAGTACTAGTAAGTTGAGTTTCTTGGGTAAAAATAACAAAAATTTCAGCAAAGTTCTTAATTATTTAAGTAATTATTTATTTATTAGGGAAATACCTATATTATCCATGTTAAAAAGGTCATCAATCATATTAAACTAATCAATTTGAATAGGAATTAATTTAGAACCACAATAATTAACACCTTAAAGACATCAAATTAATAAAAATTAGACCTAGAGAAACCGAAGAAATAAAACTTACTCACTCTGTCCTAAAATTATTGTATAGTTTGGATTTTCATTTTTAGTTCAGTTTGTACTAAAGTTCAAAATACAAACTTGATAATAACTTTGGCACAGAGGGAATATAATATCATAAAGACCAGAGAGAGTAGATAAACCGAATATGTTCAAAATTAATTTTAGTAGTATAATTCTACATTTATGATTTTTGGTCATATCATGACTTCTCATTTACCACTATTGAAATTTAAAAAGAAGTCCGCACTAAAAACAAACACGTACAATCTAAGCTGGACCATTTGATATCGACGTTATCACTCATCATATACTTTATCACTGTACGAGGTTAGCCCCATCAATTTATTTCTCAAAAAATGAGAAATTGATCTGATTAATCATGAAATTGATCTGATTGATTATGAAATTGATATCCTTAAGATAAAAATCTCAATGGTTAGCCAAATGTGTTTGCACTATATTTTATCTTGTTGATGCAACTCATAATCTGTTATATTCGCAGAATGTTTTTATAGCCGGAACAGATACAAGTTCGGCTCTGATTACATGGGCTATGACGGCAATGATGCAGACTCCTTCTGCTATGAAGAAAGTGCAGAGTGAAATTAGAGATTTAGTTGGGAAAAATGGAATAATAACAGACGAGATATTGCAACAGCTTCCCTATCTGGATGCTGTAATCAAAGAAACCTTCAGATTGTATCCTCCAGTGCCAGTCCTTTTGCCAAGAGAAACCATACAAGATTGTGACATAGAAGGATATTTTGTTAAAAGTAAAACCATGATTATCATCAATGCATGGGCTATTGCTAGAGATCCTGAATGTTGGAAAAATCCGGAAGATTTCGCTCCCGAGAGATTTCTGAACAGCAGTGTCGATGTCAAAGGAAATGATTTTCAATTAATTCCTTTTGGAGCAGGAAGAAGAGGCTGTCCGGGAATTTCTCTCGCCATGTCCACCGTGAAAGTTGCCCTTGCCCATCTCCTTTACTCTTTTGACTGGGAATTGCCTTACGGAATGAAAACCGGAGATATTGATGTGGATACATGTCAGGGACTAACCATGCATAAGAAAAATCCACTTGTCCTCACGGCAAAGAAATATACTAAAGATAATTAAGTTTGATTGTTCTACTATGGTAAACCTGGTACATAGTTTTGTAGTACCCTGCTGGCTACTGCCACAAAGCAAATAAGATCAAGTTATTTGGTGTAACATTTATGTAAGTTGGGAACCATAGAATCGAGAGATGAATAGATGTATTTAATATTTTTATATCCTTTTAGAGTCCTAGCTAGTGGAAAATTTGCATTGCGCGTATTTGCATTTTTTTTATTCTTCATTATTGACTAATTTCCTCGAGTTCTGGCCGTTAGCTAAGACATGCTGATACATTATATCATCTCTGAAAGACTCCAAGAGTTAAAAAGCTGTCAAAGCAATCAATCACAAACGTTACTCCTTAAAAGACATGCGCGCTTAAAATTCGTATCAATCTGATGTAATAACAAACACTACAACAAAAATGAGTAGTTTAGACACTTTTTTGTGTCTCAATAAGTGTTGTAATAGGACACATGTGATTCACATTGCGTGGGACACTACTAAATAGTATCTCCTATAATAAAGTCAAAATAAGTCATAAAACATTTGAAATTGTATTATTAGATTGTCACTTATTAAGACACTTTAAAGTGACCCATTAAGTAGGGTAATAGTTTACAAGCAACCCACATAGTACACTTATGATAGTGTTTTATAATATGCATACACTTTTTCATTTTTAATAAGACACTTTTTAGCAAATGTCCTAATACACATATAATGAGACACATTTTAAAAAAAGTGTCCCACTATAAATGTATTAATAGGCCATTTTTGTTGCAGTGAAATAGGCCATCAGGGTCACTCTCAATCATGATAACCATTACATTTATCTTTGATCATATAAACATAAGTGGAGAGTTTTCATGTTCGAATATCAAAGATGATTGAAAGATTGAATCTGAGGAAAAAAATCAAGCACGTGTCTTCTTATTCTATTTGGGCCTTGAATTGTGTTGATTAACTCCAGAATTTTCTTTGAATGTTGTCGTGCTGTTTCCGTCAAAAGTTGCTGGCGGATTGTCTTTTTGTTCAACATGATTTCTGAATTTTGTTGTTGTTGTTGTTGCGGCTGTTTCTGAAGAAAACGGGAAGGAAAAAGGATAAGGAGAAGGCAGTCATAACATTAGAGTTTATCCCTTAAAACGTCATCTTGATTTCTTCTTTGTGTTGCTGCCGTCCACGTTCTATTTGCTGCGCTGTGGACTCTTCTTTTGGGAGCTTGGGTTTCGACAAATTTGTGTGCTGGAGCCTGGAAAGAAAAGAAAACCGGCGCTTTTTTGGATTTTTTTCTGTTTAATTTGTGGCCGTAATGTGGTTTTTGTCGTTCGGTCTTTCTGTGTTTTGTTTGTTTGGCGTTGCTGCTGGCATTAGTTGTTTGCTATTTTTGGCAGCCGTTTTTAGTGGAAACAAATATTGTGCTGCTCGGCTTGATTGTTTGATCAATTAAAATAAATAAATAAATAAAAATCAACCAGGATGAGCGCGCTGCTCGAGATTGTTATGAGAAATGATTGGAAAGGTTCACTATGAGTATCAGGTGTTGCACCATTACTAGAACAGAATTTTGGTGTTTGTTTCAAGTTTGGACATTAGAAAGAATGGTAATCAAGTTGGTAAGGACATTGTTTGGTTAAAAACAGATGAGGTACTGCAAGAGCTTTCCGACACCAATTCTTTAATTTGCCAAGAGAAACTACCAAAGATTATAGTATGATACTAAAAGTAAAACTATGATTTTTATAAATGCATTGGCTATTGCTAGAGATCAGGAAAGTTGGGATAATCCGGAAGATTTCACTCCCGGAAGATTTTTGAACGGCAGTGTCGATGTTAAAGGAAATGATTTTTCAATTAGCTCATTCTTTTTTGGAGCAGGAAAAAGAGGTTGTCCAGGAAATTCTCTTGCCATGTCCAATTTGAACTTTCCACTTGCACATCTACTTTGGTCTTTTGATTGTAGATTGCCTACTAAAATGAAGATTGAAGACATCGACTTTGGGGCCTTTTCACCAGGCTACCAACTCCAGTTGTCATTATTTCTTGACCATTGTAGATGATTGTGGACGATGCCCATGGACTTCTCTTTTCCAGCATAAAAATCAAGTGTCTGCTTTGACAGGAATTTTTTTTAATATGGTGCAAACGCAATTCCAAACCATTATCAATATCATCATGATTGATAATGGATTTGAATTTTGAATCAATCTTGTCAGTTCTTCTTTAATCAAAAGGGCATTCTCTATCAAAGGAGTTGTCTATATTCTCTTCAGCAAAATGGAATTGTGGAAAGAAAGTATAGACATCTTCTTGATGTTATTAGATCTTTATTGTTATAGTCCAGATTACTAAAAAGATTTTGGGAGCATTCCATATTGACAGCCACTTACTTAATCAATAGGTGGCCTTCAAAATTGTTAAATTAGCAGTGTCCTTTTGAAAAACTCTATCATCACAAGCCTGATCTTTCTAGTCTTAGAAGCTTTGGTTGTTTATGCTTTGTAGTAAACAATGGTCCAGGTAGAGATAAGTTTGATCCAAAATCATTGAAGGGAATATTTGTTGGGTATCCTTCTGGTAAAAAAAGATATAAAGTTTACTGTCCTTACCTTGATAAGATCATTATTTCCAGGGATGTCATCTTCCATGAAAGTACATTTCCTTCTATAGTTGATGTCAAAAATGATATTCCATTACCTTGTGTTAGTATTCCAGACACTAATGATTGGTCTCCTGATCTTGTTTCCCTGATCCTGTTTCTCCTGACCCTTTCAATATTCATTCTGAATTTTCAGTCCAGAAGTTTCAACCTTCATCTTCTGATCCCGTCACAAGCTACCAGGTTGAGAAATCACCTGCATGCATGGGAGCCGAAGAGACTCATCCTCAATTAGTTCAGGATTCTATCACCAAGTCATTCTCACAGGCTATATCATGAGCAAGGAGTTAGTTATAATCCATCGTGGTAGAATCCTTCCAGAAACATCATCAGTCCAAGTCATTGATGAGTGCAAATCGTACTATGATTTTAGATGCATATTTTACCTCTTTATGCTTTAATTATAGGTCAATAGATTAGGATTTTATTATTATAGGCTAATTTGGTGACTTGTAGTAATCCAGGAGCTGAAATGTAATATGGGCAAAAAGATGGTCAAAATGTGGCAAAATGGTAAAGTTTTGGGTCAAATTGGAAGATGTTGCAGGGACTAAAGTGCAAGGATTGAATCTGGGTGGAATTCGGCGGGAAGAGGAGTCGATTGAAGGCCAAAGTTGAACCAAGTCTTCGGAGCTAAGTAAGAAGGGAAGGTGCTGAAATGATGTTACTGACACAATGAAGGATTGATGTGTCCTAAAGCTGATTAGAACAACCAAATCTCTTCCAAAAGGTGATTAGAGGTAAGTGGGGAAGTTGAAGAAGTATAGGTCTCCACTCTTTTGCTAAAACACATTGGGCAAGCAAAGATTACTCCCCCCAACCTCTGCTGCTTTATTTGTATACTTAGTCTTAGAGTTTTAATTATCCTTTTAGATTGAACATGCCCTTCAAACTAATTGTGCTTCTATGTTAAGGGAATCCCGAGAGGGTAAACTTAACTTAGAATGTCTAAGATTAACCGGTGACGAGGGGTAACAGCCTAAGATTTCAAACAACAACGAGAGTTAGTTGTTTGGCATGAGGGAATCATAAGGGTTGAAGTTCTTAATGGATTAGTAGTATTCTGGAGTTAACAACGAGAGTTAGTTGGCTTGTTATTGCTAGGACTGCTGTTTGAAATAACGAAAGTGATCTGACAATGTTAATGTGCCTGATTGAATATAGTTTCATATCATATAGAGAGTTTAAAGAATCATTACATATGGGTATAGAGTAGAGAAGAGAACGACCCTAGGCTGCTAGCACTTTGTCAAGTCATAAACTCACTTGCCAATTTCATATTTCTGTCCATATATTGCATTCTTGTATAGGATCCTAATTTTTTTTTAAGTGTTTCCCGTCTCTATGGGATTGACCCTTCTTATCAATTACTACAAGTTTTAAGCAGATTTATTTTGGTGGTCTCGACATCTATCAAAAGTGGCGCCATTGCCAAGGATGGCGTAAAACATCTTCTTGAAAATTGGTTACTTTTCATCGTTTTATACTCTGTTTTTCTTAGCTGTTAAATTCAAAATCAAAATCCTTTCGTTCCCGTTACTTATTCTTTTTGGTTCTTGATTTCTAGTGTATGACAAGAAGTAATCCCACTAAGGAATTCTTCTTTGACCTAGAAATTGAAGCCACTTCCAGGAGGATCAGACACCTCAGACGTCAGTACGCAGCTGCTGAAGTGAAAGAGGAGTTTGCTGACACCATGGAAGCCTTCGTTGAAGAAGAAGTCAGAAACAATGGTCGAGCTAAGATTCAGCAAGCTCAACCCTGATTGTTGAGAGATTACTTCATCCTTCAACAAGAGGAGGTTCAATCACCATTGGTTTTTCCAAATGTGGAGGCTGACAATTTTGAGCTCAAATCGAACATGATTCAATGGGTTCAAGCAGCTCGTTCGTTTCATGGTCTACCATCAGAAGACCCCAATGATCATCTACGAACCTTCTTAAGGGTCTGCGGTACATTCAAAATCCATGGACTATCTCAGGGTAACATCAAACTGAGATTGCTCACATTCACCCTTAAAGATCAAGCTCAGATGTGGTTGAATTCTTTGCCCAACAACTTGGTGGTTGAAATGGATTGTCGTTGATTTTGCCCCCAATACAATATTTATAAAACCTACTTAAAACTGTTAGCTAGTGGTAAGCAAGGTCGTTCGACGTAGACGGTAGTCAACCACTCAAAATCTGATAAAAGTGTAAGAAAAAGAAAATAAAAGAGTTGAATAGATTTGTCACTTTGGAGAGTGAGAATAGTCACTTGAAAGAGTGAAGAGGCAGGAGGGTCAATCACCTTCCTACCTTTATGATCCAGTTTTGATTCAAGTAATCATGTAGTGTATGATTTATTGTTTGATCGAGCACATGTATTCTTTACAATTCCTCTCAGATAGAGTAAAG